GTGTGTTTGTTGACATCTCTCAAAAAACGATAGCGAACGCGTTCGCCCGCTCACCGCTCCCCGCTCCCCGCTCGCCAACGTCTCTCATCGATCGATGCGTGACTCCACCTCTCGCTATCGATTTTTGAAAGATGTCAACAAACACACCATTTTGCATGCTGCCGAGTCCGGCCTTATTGGCTCAGACGTTTTTCTGAATTAGGCCGATAATAATTACGATTTTGTAAAATTTTATATAACTTTTCTTCTCAGTTTAACCCAATCTACTATAATCTTTGGGGTCGTCCATATCGAATCTGACACCCTGTATAGATAAAGTGTCTGGCACTAAAAATTACCTATTAATTAGAACAGTCGAGAATAAACAAAGTTTTATTTACTTTTCTAATATTTGAAAATGGAAGAAAGAAAAATAGCTCTTTTATTCTATTGTTATCACAAGTTAGTGATTCAAGCGGTCTTATAGCCTAAAGGGTAGCTTAATAAACAAACAGTCATCTATAAAATGAAGCTAAATGTTTTTAAGATACTGAGGAATTTTATATTGCCAGCAGGGTTCCATATTACCATACCTTCCTCTACATAAGACGAGTAAATTGTTTCAAAATAATCTCAAAGTTCGACAAAATTAGAAGATTATATTTAAAAAAAGCCTCACCAGTCTCTACTTTTTTTCTTTCTTTCCTTTTTCCTTATGCTCTTCACTTTTTTATTTGTTGAGAGAGATAAACAATATCATAACATTACATGAATGTTTCATGCAGCCTGGAAACACAGAAGTAAGTAGGAATTAGTATATATTATATTCTACTATATTAAATATACAGAGGGTGACAAAAAGTCAATTATGAACGTCTTTGAATATCTAATGACCTTTGATGAAATCTAATAACTTCTTTTTATTCTACAATTCAATTCATATATTTATTATTTTAAAATTAAATATGATCTGTTTGATAAGCAAAAGAAGACACTTTTAAAACTCTTAAAACGAAACTGATATGAAAGACATGACTCCGCATAGTGGTTCAAGATTCTGCACTATCATACGCATCAAAAACTTTGAAGTTTTCGAAGGCTTTAAAGTTTACGCGAAACAAAATTAAATTCATCTCTAAAGAAGAACGGATTCCAAAGTCTCCAAATGTAGCTCCGAAGGGTCACTTTTTCTAAAGCTATTTGAAATAAAAGCTGTGAAGGAAATGAGTTAAAAATATGGTAGATCTTTAAACATGCCTTTAAAACAATGTTTTGAGGAAATTTCTTGAAAAATTGATCGATAAAGCCCGTTCTCACCTAATTTTAATAATCACCTAAGTGATTATTAAAAATCTATAAAATAAAATTGGATTATATTGAAAAAGTCCATTTAAAACAAGAAATTAGACAAGAATTCAGAAATAAGGATTTAAATAAAAATAATAAATCGAGAGTATTCACAATTGCGTTTTGTGTTCACCCTGCATTTTACTTGCATGTAGTGCAAGTGAGATATTTTTATGAATATTGTAGAAATACATATGCAACGCAACTAATAAAACTGGGACGAAATTCATAGAGCATTACGAAAATGAAACATATTAAAAGGGTTTGTAAAAGAATTGTATTCAAAAATACTTTATTAAGGAGTGGTGAGAAATCAATAATTCAAGAACGAGATTAACATCGGCTTCATAACATCTTACAGTCATCGTTGATTCGGAAATAAATCGCTATGTGTTTACATACTGATGCTTATTTTATCAATGTTCATAAAAATATACATGTACGCGCGCACGCACACGAGAATACATATTCTTACACATAACTCTTACATACAGAATGTTCTATTTTAAAACATTGAACAACCAATGCTGTCAAAACGATGGATTCAGATTTCTTGTTTTAAATTACAGAAATTAAGATGTTTTTGTTGGAATAATGTTGACTTTTGTTCAAAGATAAAAAGTGATACGTTCTATTTCAATTTATTTTCCATCAACCACTCTAATTTCAAAGTTCTGTATACAGAATGTTCATATACCAAAGTAACGTCGGTTATTCTGGTGTTAAATGCAATAATTAAAATTTTGAATATGTAAGCAGAAGTGTTAAAGTGTTAAAAAAGTTTTATTTAAAATTTGCACAGTTTTAAAAAACTTAAAATTTTAGATACTATTGGTTTTTTTAAAACTTAAAAATTAGATACTATTTAAAAATAACTTTTCAAAAATTATTTTAAAGTTAATGTAACCCCACACAGCACAGAAAGATTGCAGGAAGATAGCAGAAATGTTACATTGCAAGATTGCATATTGCATCAACGTTGCGCAACATTGCTGCAATGTAACTGCAATCATCTGTGCTGTATGAGAACAATTATATTTATATAACTTTACAATATACATATATGTATATATATTTCGAATATGAAATCATTGCAAACTTTTTATGTGTCTACATATGTATGCATGGGTATCCGCAAAGTGTAGACAGAGAGGACAGTTACCCCTCCTCCTGAAATTGAAACATATTACAATGCTAAAATTCTACATTATAAACATTATAACAAGAAAGAACGAAAAAAGGAAATATGAGGAACTGCAGCACAAGTATTTTTCGAAAAAATCATTAAGTTATCTGTAGAAAATTGATTCGCACATGAAATTTATAAGATTTTAACGAGATCAATTTACAAGTGGAATTTTTGTTCAAATAGAATAGGCTAAAAATCACACTATAGATAGTTGTAGCAATATTACATTTCAAATATATTACATTGCAATGTTGCTATGATATTCTATTGCAATCATTTAAAAACGGATATTTTAACATTACTGCAATCTTGTTGCAACGAATTTACAACATCGCAATTTTTTAATGAAATTATTCTGTAATATATGTGCAATCTTTCTGTGCTGTATGGAATGATTTGACAACCGGTAAAAATTTTTCATGTATAAACATGAAAAAATATATAGAATTATATAAAAATATACATCAATATGTCCATATATATTTTTAAATTGTATATTTCTATATAATTCTATACAATTGTACGCAGTTCTATTTAATTTTATAGATTTATACATGCTTTTGTATAAACAATTTTTAATGTCAAAAATTGCTTATCTATAATTATATGTAATTGTGTACAATTGTACAAAGTTATATATATATATTATAATTGTATAATAAATAAGCAATTCTTCGCCTTGAAATTTTTTTATATAAAAGTATATGCATATAAATCTACAAAATTATACAGAACTGTGTAGAATTGTATACAATTATATAAAAATATACAAATTTAAAAATATGTATGGAAATATTTCGTGTATAATTTTATACTATACATATATTTAAGCATGCTCATGCATGAAAAAATTTTTACCGGACACTATTAGTATATTTATAACGTTTCAAACTCTTTCTACATCGGTATGCATATGCGTGCGTGTGTTCTGTGTGTGCCGTAGAACGTTTCTCAAAATTTTCTGCATTAATTTCTAAACACAATTTTGTATACCGTACGCGCGCACATGAAAAACGCAATGGTAAATTTCATTGAAGAGAATTTCACAAATATTTACGTCTCTTTTCCAGTACGATGAAACGTTAAAACCTTCGTATATAAGCGTGGATCTATCGGAAGTTGAACTCGCAGAATACGATGGCCCTTCGGCTCCTCCGAACAACTCGCTTCTGCTCGATGTAAGTGCGACATTTATTTTATCATTTAATTTTTATAACGTCTAGTATTATAATAGCGATTGAATAACATTATTTTTTTTAGCTGAGACGTGACATGATCGATCAAAAGGAAGGAGAGACAGACTTTACAATCAAAATACATTATGACGATATGGTAAGAAGTTACGAACGTAATAATATGTATTACATGTCGTAGAGATAATATAATTTCCACTTTGTTATCCGCAATACTTTATTGATTTGCAGAAAAGAGTTACGATTAGACGACACAACTATTTTTACAAGCCGATCGAGGGTACCCCGTTTTCTTTAGGCTTGGCCCTGCCGGAAGGTTACGGTATGTTTGAATTGAGGGCCGAGCAAGAAATCAAGCACGCCATCGTGAATGGTAAATTTCTCACTGTAATCGTGCGTATTAATGTCAAATGGAGAAACATCGGCCGGATATGCGAATTTATCGTATTGTGTTGCAGTAACGGACTATTTCAAGGGAAGCAACTGGAAAGTGCATCCCGATTGGATTTACTGCGAATATAATTCGGCTTCCGATAAGTTCTTTTCCTCCCCGGAAGACCGCGTGCTGCACTTCCTGACACGGACGCGCCGCCCGGGGTGGAAATGGATGTCCTTGAGACCAAGGAGTCCTAGCTCGCATCATAAACAAGCGAGCAAGCCGGATAAAGATTCTTATTATTGTGAGTACACATCGTATTAATTTAACATCTTAATGATAAACCAAAAGATTTGTGGAAAATAATATTATACATAAAGACGAGTGAAAGGAATAAGGGACCAGATATGGGTTGGGCATTAGCTTCGGATCATTTGTCATACATCGCCGACTAAAAGTTTGAGATTGTTAATGAAAATTGTCTGTGCGAAATAAAGTCAAATTTTTTAAATTATAATTTAACATACTTTGATTATTTTGTTCATTTTTTAAAATGAAACAAAATGTAAGATGTTTGGGAGTTTTATATAAAATATTTATTTTTTATGAGATGAATATTATTAGATACAGAGAATGTTAGAGATTTTTTTTCATTAGAATAACCACCCCTTTATTTAATAATTTTTATTACTAATTTAGATAATTTAGCTACAAATGTTTTTATGAGGCAGAAAAACTCTTCCACTTTCTTGACCCGTTAAGGTAGAATGGACCCTTAGAAGATTGTAAATTTGCGTACAGAGTGGCAACATACATGTCAGTACGACGGGTTGCCCATTCGAGTAGGCGCGCATGGTCGTTCACAACTGCGCGCTGGGTCGGCTTCGGCGAAATTATATCGCGAGATTAATGACAGTAAATTTGTTCAGGCACAACATGACGAAGTCAAAATCCATGTTGTGCCTGAACAAATTT